GGGGATGAGGGCACTGCGTCCGTGCCCCCCCCCGCCCGCCCGGTGTGCGCTGGACATGTGATATACCTAGCCTGATCGTTGTGACAACATCCTGGCTAAGATATTATTATAGCCATTTGACAGGAGAATAAAACAAGGCTTAAAGGGGGTAAATAACTTTCGCAGGTGCACGCAGCCAGTGGGTGCAGGAATTGGGACTGGAGCTGGAGTTCCACACTGCTGTATGGAGGTGTACGATCATCGTTCCGTTAAATCGCTCTGCGTCAAGACTTGGAGCTGCTGAAGAGGGTCCATTATTTTCCTGTGCATCTTCACCATCTTCTTAGTGTTTGGGCAGAACACAGCAAGGTGTTCAAAAGGTGTTTTTCCTTGTATGTGCATATCCTTTCTTCGACAGCTTTACCGGTGTACAACAAAGTATCTGAAGTGTCTCATTCGATGAGTTTTGACGTCAGTGCACATCTATGAAACCAACACCGAAATCAAGCCAACGTCACCCAAAAGCTTTCCTTGTGGGGCGCCTGGGTGGCTCAGTCGTTAAGCGTCTGCCTTCGGCTCAGATCACGATCCCAGGGTCCTGGGATCGAGTCTCAGTGGGGAGTCTGCTTCTCCCTCTCCCACTCCCCCTACTTGTGTTCCTGCTCTTGCTGTGTCTCTCTCTGTCAAATAAATAAATAAAATCTTTAAAAAAAGGTTTCCTTGTGCCCCTTGGCAACTTCTAATCTGCTGTTATTTCAGGTTAGTTTTCATTTTTTTGAGAATTTTGAATAAATGGAGCCAGACTGCATGTACTTTTTATTTTTTAGATTTTATTTATTTGTTTGTTTGTTTGTTTAGAGAGCACAAGTGTGGGGAGGAGCAGAGGGAGAGGGAGAGAATCCCAAGCAGACTTCATCCTGAGTGTGCGGACCCTGACGCCGGGCTCGATCCCACCACCTCAAGACCCAAGACAAAATCAAGAGTCGGACACCCAACCGACTGAGCCATCCAGGTGCCCCCAGACTGTATGTACTTTTTAAAAACTGGCTTTTCGGGGTGCCTGGGTGGCTCAGTCGGTTGAGTGTCTGCCTTCAGCTCAGGTCGTGATCCCACAGTTCCGGGCTCCAGCCCCACATCAGGCTCCCTGCTCTGTGGAGAGCCTGCTTTTCCCTCTGCCCCTCACCCAGCTCATGCTTGCTCACTCTCTCAAATAAATAAATAAAATCTTAAAAAAAAACAAACAAACCTGGCTTTTCTCTCTCAACAGAGTTATTTTGAAATTCCTTCATGTTATTGTGTATATAAATGGTTTAAGTAAGATTTAAGACTTCTACTCTTTGAAGACTGTTAGAAAAAATGAAAAGGCAAAGCACATAGTGGGAGAAATATATTCAAAACATACATGGACAAAGGACTCGTATCTAGTATATGTAAAAGCTCTTACAACTCAACAATAAAAAAGATAAACATCCCAATAACTACATTGGCCAAAAAAACCGGAATAAACACTTAACCAAAAAAGATATACAAATGGCAAGTAAGCACATGAAAAGATGTCATTAGAAAAATGCAATTTAGGGCGCCTGGGTGGCTCAGTCATTAAGCGTCTGCCTTCGGCTCAGGTCATGATCCCAGGGTCCTGGGATCGAGCCCCGCATCGGGTTCCCTGCTTGGTGGGAAGCCTGCTTCTCCCTCTCCCACTCCCCCTGCTTGTGTTCCCGCTCTCGCTATCTCTCTCTCTGTCAAATAAATAAATAAAATCTTTAAAAAAAATGCAATTTAGGGGCACTCAGTCGGTTGGGCATCTGCCTTCGGCTCAGGTCATGATCCCAGGGTTCTGGGATCGAGCCCCAAGTTGGGCTCTCTTTGCAGCAGGGGTCTGCTTTTCCCTCTCCCTCTGCCTCTCTCCCTGGCTTGTACTCAATCTCTCTCAAATGAATAAAATCTTTAAAAAAAGGAAAAAAGAAAAATGCAATTTAGAGAGAGAAAGAGAGCTAGTGCCCGTGAGCACAAGGCAGGGGGACAGGCAGAGGGAGAGGGAGAGAGAGAATCTTAAGCAGATTCCACACCCAGCATGGAGCACAACCTGGGGCTCCATCGCACAACCCTGAGATCATGAGCTGAGCCGAAATCAAGAGTCGGTCACTTAACCGACTGTGCCACCCAGGCACCCCATAGAAAAATGCAATTTAAAAGTACAATTGAGGGGCGCCTGGGTGGCTCAGTCAGTTAAGCGTCTGCCTTCAGCTCAGGTCATGATCTCAGGGTCCTGGGATCGAGCCCTGTGTGGGGCTCCCTGCTGAGCAGGGAGTCTGCTTCTCCCTCTCCCTCTGCCCCTCCCCGCACTCCTTCTCTCTCTCCCTCTCTCTCTCAAATAAATAAATAAAATCTTAAAAAAAAAAAACAAAGCTGCATACACCTATCATACAACATACCAAGAAAAAGGAAAGCATATGTCCACACAGACTTGTACACAAATGCTTATAGCTTTATTCCTACTTTCAAAAAAGTGGTAATAACTCAAATACCCATACAATGGAATACTACTCAGCAATAAAAATGTTTGTTGAACAAATATTCAAGGGTGTCACAAACTATTCCAAGGACAGTGCCTGCAATGCTGCATTCATTCACTAGATGGCAGCAAAAGCCCACTCATTTCCAGTTCCATTACTGTGTCTTCCTTATCACAGCAGGCAAGCAGATGGCATTAACCCCATTTAACTGGTGGGAAAACAAAGGCCTGGGGAGGGCAGGTGACACCCCAAGTTTGCCAACCTGCCAGAGCCAGGAGTCAGGATTTGACCCACATCTCCTAGACTTTCTGGGCTTCTGAATTGACAACCCAGAGAGACACTCCCACACCTTGGTCGGCACACCCTGTCCCCGCCCCCCACCTCGGGCCTACCCCCTCAAGTGCTCTCGCGGTCCTGTCACCGCTATACTGAAGTCAGAAATCTGCTGCCTGGGTCCTACCAACTAGCACAGGGCCTGGGAGGCCTGAGGGGAAGCTTGTGAGACTGAGAAATGGGGGCTACCACTTGAATTCAGGTGTGTTTTAGCCACTACTAGGATTATCAGGATGAAATCCAAAACCACTGGTATGAGAGCCCTTTGTACAGCTGGAGGGGTATATAAATATTGCCTGTGGTTTGTCTGTTATCATGACCCAGCCCCTCAACTTGGACATAATCTTTGGGGGGAATTTTATGTTGGCCTCCTCTGCATTCCCTAGCCCCTCAACTTGGACAGAATCTTTGTGGGAACTTCATGTTGGCCTGCTCTGTATTCCCTTTTTGTGCTCAGAGGGTAAGAAGTGGCTTCCAGGCTGCTTTTCTACCTTCCTGTCGCTGACTGTGTCTGGTCTTTGCATTTCCAATCCTGGCTAATTTAAAACCTGCTCGGGGCACCTGGGTGGCTCAGTCCTTGGGCGTCTGCCTTGGGCTTAGGTCATGATCCCAGGGTCCTGGGATCGTGTCCCACTTCGGGCTCCCTGCTCGGCGGGAAGCCTGCTTCTCCCTCTCCCGCTCCCCCTGCTTGTGTCCCCTCTCTTGCTCTCTCTCAAATAAATAAAATATTTTAAATAAATAAATAAAAATAAAACCTGCTCAGCACCAGGAACGCTGTAACCCCTAGCAAATACATGCGAGGCCTTCCTCTCTTTACTACTTTGCTCTCCAATGAAGTCTTGTGCTTCCAGGGAGACTTTCAACTCTGGAAAAACACCAGACCTTTGTCCAAAAGACATTAAGACAGCAATTCAGAATAGGCACTTAATCAGGCTCAGGGGACCATGGCTCAGCCTCTCCCTATGCCCTGTCTACATTAGATCACAAGGAAGAAAGTCACTCTGCCTGCACAATGCTGCGTAGGTTGGGGGCTGCCTGCTGCTGACCTATCTGGACTATGGTTTCATGTCAGATGTTCATGCGCTGAAGAAACAGCAACAGAGTTGAAGTGTTGGGAGACTGACCAGGGATCAAATCCCAGCCCTGCTGCCTTGGCAAAGTGACCGAAAGCCTGCTTCTCCAGTAACACATTCCTCGGAGTTTTGAGTACAGTAATGGAGTTCTGTTCACTGAGGCCCCTGCACTGGGCGAAGTGTGGCCATCGGGTGACCCAGGTTGAGAGGCCTCTGCTGGGTGCATCTTCTTTAGAACCTGGGCCCCCCACCCCTCCTAGATCTAACTGGGTGGAATGAGCCTCTCCCACCCCTTCAGGCAATAGGGTCAGTTGGGAGTAGAAGCAGGGACACCTCAGGGACTTAGCAGCCAGGGTAGGACCGGAGAGTATTTCATCTGGGGCCAGTGTGTGCGCTGTGTGCGTACAAATGCAGATTTCAACATTTTAGTTGCAAATGAGGGAAGATCACGTGCTACCCAGGCCATTACCACAGAACAGGGGACCACAGGACCAGCTTGTTTTGGGAACTGGGAATGGATTAAAGAGGTGATAATCAGGAGTAACCTAAGACTTCACAGAGACCACCACACAGAGCTTGCTTTTTTATTTTTTATGATTTATTTATTTATCTGAGACAGAATGAGAGAGACAGAGAGCACATGAGAGGGGGGAGGGTCAGAGGGAGAAGCAGACTCCCCGCCGAGCAGGGAGCCCGATGCGGGACTCGATCCCGGGACTCCAGGATCATGACCTGAGCCGAAGGCAGTCGCTTAACCAACTGAGCCACCCAGGCGCCCCCAGAGCTTGCTTTATTAGCACAAAGTGCCCCTAGGCCTGCAAGAGCTTTTTCACGGAAGCAATGGTCTTCTCCTCCTCTGTCCCCCAGCTGTTTATACCCTGGTTAGGGAAACCTGGTATACCCAGGTTAGGGCAAGTTACTGGGTCCTTTAGGTTGCTGATCCTGCACCACTTTCCAAGTCCCTCCCACTAACTGAAGATCTTGCTGTTATCATGGTAACCAGCATCAAGGTGGAGAAACCCCCCAACAAAACACCCCATCTTCTATTAACTGCTCATGGACAGAAGTTTGGTTTATACACAAAGGAATCACACCAATGAAGAGCTTTTCAATTTTATTTTTATTAATATGAAATTTTAAGTTTTCTACAGTAAGGCTTCTCTAAACATTAGATGCATGGGGACTACCTGAAAATTAGAGATTAGGTTCCCACATAAATATGGATTTAGATTGCTGACAAATTCAACAAAGTTCTTTTCCACCTCCCCCAAACCCCAAAGCCTAGCTCCTAAAGAGAAGAAAATGGAAAGAGGCTGAAGACAGTTTACAGTCAAGCAAAGACGCCGCAGGGATTTGAACCCTGTCCTGGAAACCAGGAGTGCCAACCACCAGCATCTTTTGCTTTTTTTTTTTAAGCTAGCAAAAGGCCAAAAAGCAAAACCTGAGAAAACAAAACTTTTGTTTTCTCAGGAAAAGAAAAACCTTTACAACCCTACTGAAGAACACTGGAGAATCTGCTTCAGCTAAGATGCTAGCTTGGCCAAATCTGTTATGTTCACCTGAAAAAGTCTTAGCAGAGAATTTTTGCAATCCCACCCCAACAGTCCTCGAGACTAAAATTTCCTATCTTCTTCAGTTTGTAAGGTGTATTTTCCCACCCAACATTACAGCCTCAAACGTTATTTCTCCATTCACTGGCTTAAGTGTTTTAATCATGGGATAAGGGTGTTACATATTTAAACATCGTAGAGCTTTTAGTTGTGGTTTTAATAACATTAACCATTTGCAGGCAAATTAATGGCCTTTTCTAGTACTGCAACCCACCAGAAGACCTCAGCACCAGTTACCTTGAAACCGATTACGGATCATGCCCTCAAGGATCCAAGCTACTGGCAGCATCGAGGTGAGGGGTGAAGGGTCTGCGCTAGGCCAAAGGCAGGCAGTGGCGATGTGGCAGAGAAGTCACTTGTGGGGAGACCTTGCTTTTTAACAGGTTTCTGGAAAAGCTAGGGAAAAGTGGTTGCCCGCTTTCCCCATTTCCCTCCCCTTCAACCATCACTTGAGGTTTGGGCTTTTTGAAGAGCTGCTATAAAAGCAGCGTAATTAAATGTCAGGACAGGACAAGCCCAGGGATATAGAAGGTACTCAAAAACACTCCTTTAGATGCTCCATTCCCCGAAGAGAGCCTCAGTGCCAAGGGTGTTGAGGCAAGTCCTCATTTCTAGCAGAAGATGGGGTTATGAGGCCGACACCATTTTTATTGACCTTAGTATAATAGCGCTTTGTTGTCTCTCTTGCCACAGGAAGGCTCCGTGGTTGTCCTACTTTAAGCCTTCGGTGCCTTTAGGGAGGGGTACCTGAAAAATCTTAAAAAAAGGCTTAGCGCCCACCTCACCCCTCCACCCCCAGGCCAACAAACAGCTTGCTCACATGCTATTTATTCCAGCATAAAGCTGAAAAGTCTATTTAACACTAGATTATTCATAATGGATCTGACTTGGTATGTAAATATATAAAAAAGCTTGTTCACCTGTTGTCCTCATTTTGTCCACTGGTGAATTCAACTGGAAGCTCCTTCTATAGTCTGAAGAATACCATCTGAAAGAACTAGTGGTTCCCAATCCCCACATTTAAAATGGAATGTTTATTTAAAGTAAATAAGCTATTTTTTTTCCTTACTGGTCTGGCTTCTCTGGCCCTTCGCATACGTCTGCTGTTTTGAATGTTCCTGCGTATAAGAATTAAGACCAAGGGAGGGGAGAGAGAAACCCACACAAAGACAATGCACTAAGACCACTGAACTGGTAAACATTTCCACTTGCCAATTTCTTGAAGACTGTTGCTTGTTTGGAATTTATGTCTTGTCACTGATTTTAAGGTTGCATCTGGAAAAGACTAAAGGCTTCAGTGCCCCCCCACCCCCCTACGAGAAGTGAACAAAAAGCATTTTACCTAAAGAAGCACAGCAAAAGGTACTTGGCTTCAATCACAAACACGAATGCTTAAAGCTGCAGAAATTTCCTCAACACTCAGCCTTTATCACTCAGCTGGATTTTCCTTCAACAATCACTACTCCAAGCATTGGGGGAACACAACTTTTAATCATACTCCAGTCGTTTCACAATGCATTCTAATAGCAGCAGATCAGAACAGTACTGCATTACTTGCCAACAGAACAGACAGACCTGAGGTCAAGACAACTGCATTCTCTGTGTGGTCTGTAAAAAAAAAAGCTAAAACAAGTAAGCCCCACCCCCTCCTCCCTTCCCTCCAAAATCAGGGGGAAAACTTTACTTGAGTATTTATGCTGATACACTGCAAGGTCTCACACACTCACTAGAACAGAAGGCAGAGCCACGTGCTTATATGCCAAGTCAAAATCCTGAACAGCTTCATGAAGGATGTGAAATGAAGCCTCTGCAAAGGAAAATTCTTTAAAAACCCACATGCCCCCCCACCAAGTACCTATAGGAAAGGCCAGTTGTGTAAACACTGGCTAACACCAGAGGAGATGACTATTAGCATTTAAAGGTAACATGCAAACTCTGGAAATGTGGACAGTATTTTATTACTCTACCACTGTCAATTTATAGACCCCTAACTTTCTGGGAATAGTGTAGGTGCAGTTACCTGTTATTCTGATCATAATCTCCCACCTGTCTAAGAGGTATTTATTCCTTATTTAGAGGGCCTCTATTGCCATGTGCCTGGAATTATTAAATGCTCATCACTTTACGAAGGATAAAGTATTTTTCCTGCCTTAAAGTTAAATTCGTTCTTCCGCTCAATTCCTGATCTTGTCCGTTAAAGAGTGTTCGCAGACAAAGTTTCTGAAAGATTAGAGAAGAATCCCCCCAAGATTGCCCAACACTAACTACAAACAAACAATACTTTATTTAAATGAGGAGACCGCTTTCTAAATGCATACATTCTCTACATTAAAATGTTTTATTTTGCATGATTTAATGTTTTCTGCACAACGTATACATCACAACACATTTAAGTTTTATCAAGATTAACATCAGATTTTTGTTAACAGCACAATAGGCTATCCTTTTGGAGGATTTAAGAGAGTCAATGCTCAACCAATTCTTAGTTTTATAAATACGGTCTTATGATTAAGGTACTACCTTTCAAGGCTTTTAAAGATTACTTGGCCTGAGTGAGGTATGCTATCCCATCATGCAAGCCACAGGTACAAGTCCTGTGTAATTTTAAAGGCTAGATAGGAAAATCCCTCACAATCCTAGAATCCCTTAGGAAAGGGATCAGGAAAAACAGCCATGTTCAATACTTAAAAGACCTCCACAGCTTTTATTAAAAATAAGCACTTAGCCCTAACATGCAATACTGCATATTCAAGTTCAACTTATCTGTTAACAGCTGCCTGCTGTTTTCTGCTCCCAGATGAAATGAAGCAACTCTTCTGATAATGAAGAGAAACCTGTCTGAGGCAAACGAAAGATTGGCAAACAGCACAGCCTCCTCTTTAATCCACTTGATCCCACTCTGAATTATTTCAGCTTCTTTTATTCCAGGATTAATGTTGGTATTATCATTTTCATTTCATTTTTTATTCTGCTTTTGTAAAAGCAGTATTTTGAGATGGACATTTGATCTTCGTTGTATTGCTCATCAATTCATTATATTATTTCTCATCAATTCTTTTTTTGGTGGGTATAGCTTGATAGGCCATAACTTTTAAAATGGTAGATTCCATTATCTTTATTTTTCTTTTTTTTCCATTAACTTTAAATTGGTAGTTTCATTTGCTTAATTTTTTTTTTTTTTTTGCATATGCAGACAACGCGTTCATCAGTAGTAAGGATCTCAGGGTTATGCTTTTTTTCCCCCATGGAGATATGAAATATAATCTTTTCTGCCTTTACTTATCATTCACCAAGGAGCTGTTCCCTCTCCATCTAGGCCATCATATTGCCAGGCTGGTTATGACTCAGAAGTTGTTATCTGAAAAAAGGCTACAGAAAAAAAAAGGTTTCCCCTCCCTCATCCACAAAACCCCACCCTCTTTATCAGAAATGATTAAAATACACAATTTACAGTAATTTTGAAGCATACCTTAACATCTTGTTTGCAGTCATACAAAGGCAAAATACTTTTCCTACACTAAAAAAAAACTTGCTTATACACAACTGAAAATAGAATCTTACTTGATAATATAAAAGCTACCATCAGAAGAAATCCCTTCAGGATCATTAAGCCACTTCCTTTGCTCTGAAGCTCCTAAAGTAGTATTAAGTTATATTAAATCACCTGAAAAAAATTCCAAAAGAGAACCACACACTACCATATCCAAACAACTTTAGCCATTTAAAAAAAAAAAAAATTCCCAAGGTATTATTATCTAAGTCAGCCAACGGGCTAGACCAACCCCCAGTCCTATACTTTCCTTCCCCAGGCCCTACACGCTGAATCCAGTGGATCTTCATGAACTTCCCCAGCTGCCCAATTCAAAAATTGGGGGAAAACAAAAACTAGAGGATTGGGAGTTACTTGCCAACTTGGAAGTTGAGATTTCTTTAGTTTTTCCATCCTAAGTATTTAAGTTCTCTGGCATGAGTTATCTGAAATCATAAACTAAACAATTACCTAACCCCAGCCCTCCCAAATCCCAACCATTAACACGCTAAGGCCAACTGCCAAAATTTGCCCCTCCCCTTTAATAAAAGTTAAAGGTCACATTACTTGAAAACGTAAACGTAACTTCAACATTTGGCCTAGTCAAGCTCTTCTGAAGTGCTCCTGAGAAGATTGAACATGAACCAAAGCTGCACTGTGCTGTACCATTTCAGCTTCAACTGGGAATACTCTTCCAAGGAAAAAAGCAGCTCCAATCCCTGAAGGTGTTCGTGCCAACAGCGTAGCAGTACAATCCTTCTCTAACCCAGTTTGTCAATAGTACTATAGCATCTGTGGAAAATCTTAGAAAGAAAATTTTCTCCCCCACCCTCTTCCCTGGTAAGGCCACCCCAAAATAGTAAGTAAATATAATGAATTTAAAGGATTATGTATTAAGAATTTGATGAAAGGGTGGAAAAAAAGAGAACTACCAGCCATTTCTCCAATGGACAGCTCCGCCACAGAACTGAAAAGTGAGGGCTGCTCGTGCTCTATTTCTAGAAACTGTAAACCTGTGGTGCTCTGATTATCCTGATACTGGATTTTCTTTTTTTCTGTTACCTTGAGTCATTTGCCTTTGGGACTCTAGACAGACCTAAGGGGAAAAAAACTTAAAACATATTTTGCCCCCCATCCCCAACCCCCCCCCCGTTACACACCCAACTCCACATTCAGTATAAACTTTAATAGGGGGTAAGGGAAGAAAAATAGGTCATCTATTCACAAAACTGAACGGCTTCATTATCCCGAACTAAAAATAAAAACTTATAAAACTTGTCTCAAGGCTGTTCTAACAAATTCATTCGGTTTCCCTCAAATTGGTTAAAAACAAAAAAACTTGCCATCTACCATTCCTCCGGGCCTTGGAAGTCTGCCCTCAAAAGCTTCAGACAAGATGAGAAAACAAGCCTGAAAAAGAGAAACCTACAACACCCGGAAATCGGCCTACACCCCACAAATCCCTTAGCGCTTAAGTACTCAACGCCCCCGTTACCATTAGAAAACCAAGTAAAACGTTACCATACTCCAGTTACAAAAAGCACGTTAGCCGACCTCGCCGACCTCGCGGGTTTTTCCCACACCACTCGCTCTCCCTGCGGCCTCGCACACTGGGATGCTGCTCTAGGATCCTCTATCTATCCTCCACACCGCCTGCTCGCCGCCTCCGCGTGGTCGCCAAGCCAAGCCGCTCGCTAGCTTCATCACCACATCGCACTGGCTCCTCCTTCCTGGAATCCTCTCTCCTAGCTTCACCTCCAAATCGTTAGGGCTCCTTCTTTCTTCCTAGCTTCCTTCCTTCACCAAACCGCACTGGCTCCCGGACTTCGCTCTCCTTCCTATCTTCACCACGAACTGCTGCAGCTCGCTCCTCAGTCCTAGCTTCACCGACACTGGCTCCTGGAATCCTGTCTGCTGCTCCTGTCTTCCTAGATTCACTGAATCCACTTCTGCGTAGTACCTGGGTCAGCTGCCAATTAACGCTAGTCCTCAGGATTTAAAAAATCTTAGCTCAAAGTCCAATGTGAAAATGTTAAGTTGGTAGTTAATTCTTGATCTTGAATTACTTGTTATGAAAAGTTCTTTAAATTCTCCAAGACACTAAAAGCTACTGTATTTAAACTCACATTTTTAACTCTCCAGAAATATCCTACCTGGGTTCTTAAATAACTTCAGTCCTTTTAGTAGCAAAAGTTGTACAACTGATTTTTAACTTTCCCTTCTAGCTCCGGGTTAATTCTTCTAAGTTGGTCCCGGTCTACAGTAGTTTTAACACCCTCATCTTCTCAAATCTAGCTTCTGTACCACCAGAATTTAAACTCATGGGCTTTTAGGAGAAATTCCACTAAGAATTTAAAAATTAGTTTCCTCCTTAGCTTTTCTTTTCTTGTACTTTATCCAATTTTTTGGCTTAGACTTTTCTATCTTCTTTTTTGAGGTCTATCTTGTGCACTTGTATTCAATAGTTGTCCTAGCTTGTTTTCCATTTTCTACCTGAAATACTTGCCCTGCCCGTATTTTCCACCTCGTTTCCAACTTCTGGCTTTCTCCTCAACTTGTATATGAGACCTTAGTTGCCTTGTTTTTCTAGTTTCTCTATTTTTTCTTCCGCTTCCTGCCTTCAAGGGTTTATAGTATTTTTCTGTCTTCTAAAAGGCGTGTAATTTTTCTTCCAATTTTCCTATCTTCTCTAAATCTTTTCTTCACCTTCCTGTACTTCTGTCTTTAAGTCTTCACCTTCCTGTACTTCTGTCTTCTGAGTTCTCCACTTCAACTTTCTAATCTCTCCAAATTTTCATCCTACCACTCCTAGTATTTGTCAGCTTTTAGGAAGTCCTACTTTAAGATCTAGGTTGCAAATGATGCAATCATCACTGCGCCATTAATTTGAAGGGCTCTTAAATCACCTTAAAGTTTATCTTTTTAAAAGACAAAAGTCACCTACAACTTGCCTTTTTTAAAGAAAAAACGACACTTAAGCTCTATTTAGGTCATTTACATTTTAACGTCAACCTAAATGGCTGCCCTTCGATTTACGGATTTTTTGAATCCCGGACTTTGCCGTCCTTTTAAGCAATTTCTTTAAAAATTAGGTTTTCTCCACTCCATTAAGAAGTTTCACCTCCTAGCCTCCGTCTGGTTCTAGAAAGAGCTTTTTCTTTCTTAAACTACTCTTTAAGGTCTTCATTATTTTCCCTTTAAGTTCTTTTTAAGATTACTGTAAGAATTTAATGCTATGCAATTCATTAAGTTTTAGCACTATTTACACTTCCTAAAGAACTGTATTCATTCCTAGCTTTTTTTTTTTTAAGAGAAAAACTTATCTGCGTCTCCTCAAGCAGTGCCTCCTGCCTCCCGAGGCGTCTCTGCGCTCGCTGCCTGAAAGCCTGCCGCAGAGCCCCCGGAGAGGCGTATTTATAGCCGAAAGCCGTAGCACACCGCGGCCTCAATAACCCTCCGCCGCCTTTGTGAGGGAAGCAAAAATAGTTCCTCGGACGGGTTAAAAATAGAACCAAGCTTGCCAAGACTTTCTAGATTTTTCGTGACAGTGCAGGCAACTTAATTATCGACTGTGTACCCAGAAATATCCAAAACTTACTAGCAAGTAGATTTGAGCTGAAGATTTAGGCAAAAACAAAATCACATATAAGTAGAGCAAACTACTCCCCTGAACTCAGAGCCATTACTTGGGAATTTTTTAGTAGCTTTTTAAATACCTTTCATGTCTTCTCGGGAGTACAGTAGGTACTATTTAGTGCTTTTTGAAGGAAGGTTAAAATGGGTTTGCTGACGGCCTTCATTTCTATTACATAACCGAGCATCAGCCTGGTAAATAGGCCGCAGCCATCTTAGGCAAAGTGTCAGTTTGTCCCCCCAAACCGCCTCCGGTCGTGCGAGTTGGTTCTCAGGTTATACTGGACATGTTCCGGTTATCCTGTGATTGGAGAAGCACGAACGTTCCGGGTTATCTGCTTAAGAATCTACTAAATGTGGAAATCCACTTCTAGAAAATGTCTCAAGTAGCCACAATGTACAGCGGTCTCCCGCATCCGAGCTGGCGAGCCAACTGGGGGGGCTTGCTAAGATATGACGACGCATCCGGGGGGACTTGTGTTAGTTACTTGACATGCTTAACGTTCCCGTCTTTGCAATTACGAAATACTAGCTAGACCCCCACGTTTTTGGTTGCTTTTTTAATATCATGCCTACTTTTTGTTCCTTCCAAACGTGAGCCGTTTCTAACCTTCCAAGCTTCCCGTTAAAGCTCTCAAAATCCAAATCTGCTGTGAAAACCAAGTTTAAGTGTCCTCTTCGATGCCCAAACGCCAAAGGTTTTGCCTCTAAAGACACAACGACCTTGGGCAGCCAGTCTGGGGACGTTTTTTTCAAATATTCGTGAAAACTCTGCTTATGGGTTTGCTTTTCTAAGTTCGTGCTTACAGGCTGGCTTGGCTCCACTCCCCAAGTTTTTTAAACTAGAGTTGCAAGGGAAACAAAAGCTCTTCTCCAAATCCAAAGCCTTTCCTTTCTGTAGTTTGAGCAGTTTTGCTTCCAAAGCACCCCCTGGAGTTTCCCAACTAAAGGGAAAGCTGACTAAGCACTGCGTGACAAGAATTCTGAGAAAAACCTCGTTTCCCGGGGCGGCAAAGGGGGAATCTGACTCCCGGGCGAAGCAGGAGAATCTGGGAACAATGGCGCCGGGGGCTTCCCGAACAGGGGTTTCCACGCGCCTAAGGCGACTGCGCGGAGAACCGGGCGAGGTGGGATGGGGGAGGGGACGCGTCCATGCCGGCTCCACCCGGCCAAGCTCCGCTCCGCGTCCAGAACCCTCGGGCTGCCGGGGCCGAGAAGACTGCGGGGAGCGGCTTGTCCGGAGGCCCGAAAAGCCCGTAGGTGCAGGACGGGGACAAAGGCTGGGGGAAGGGTGCGGCACAAGAGCGTATCCCACACCCGCCCGGCGTAGGGATACGCGGGCCGTGAGCCGCCGCCTCCGTTTGTGAGGCGCCGGCTCGCGGCCGGGCACCGCTGGCTCTAACCGGATCCAGCCGGTCCTAGCCGCCTCCGGGAGCGGAGGCGGTTGGCGCAGCGCGCCAGTGCGCATGCGCGCCCCGCCCCCAGACCCTGGGCCTGTGCCAGAGAATGGCGTGGCGGGGGATGGGGGCAGCTGGGTTTGGGCCCCGGGGCAACGCGGCCGCCCCTCCGCCCTTTCACCACACTTGGGCTGCTGCCCTCACCCCCGCCCTCTCTCCCATTTACAGCCCAGGTCTGCCTTTTCTTCCCCTTTCCTGTGCTTTGTCATTCCTCCATGTTGTATCAAAGTCATCCGTGAATTGAAAGTTCGCACAGGATACCCTTGTAATTATCAAATGCTGTTTCTTTATTGTAACAGATTTCGGGTGTTTGCATGTCACCGGGTCTTTCTAGTCTAGGATGCGCGAGGTGGAAGAGGGTCTCCGAGACTGACCTAGCAGCTGCCTCACTTTTTGGAAAAGAAACTAAAGCAGAGACAGTGAGGAGCTGCGGGACACCGTGGTTTAAAGCCTGGAACCCACGACTGGGTGCTGACACCCGTCCTCTCTCACTCCAGGGGCCTTATTGTGGAATCTACAAAGTGGCAGGTCTCTAGGCAGTGAATTCGGAGAGGGAAAGACGGCGTTCAATGACACGATAGTGTGGCATCTGACTAGTGACATGGGAATTGTAGAAACTTGACATTCTCTGTTTTCAAAACCCCTTTGGCGTCCGGGAGCAGGTACTGACCTCCCCACCTTCGCTCGCCCGCATGACTCTGCCAAAGCTGTTGGAGTTTCATGTTCTTCCCCCACTTTGCCTTTAAGGGCGGAATATTACTGAGATGCAGATGGTTCCCTTCAGACACAGGCTTGATGTTTGCTCTGGATTGGAAATTTTTTAGTGGGATTTTAGCGCTGGAAGGAGGAAAACTGAGTTGGGTCACCTCATTTTACAAACGGGGAGCTGGGAGCCTGGGGAGTTTATGATCTGCCTAAAATCAGACACAGCTAATTAGTACCAGAATCTATTCTTGAATCCCAGAAGTTGACCTCGAGCTGCTTCCCTTCCCCCTCCCCTCCTCCTCCCCTCCGCCGCGCCCCGCCATGCCCTCTCCGGGGCGTCTGTCAGCCTCAGCCTCTACTGCGGTTTTCTCCGGGGCTGGGGAAGGACTCAGGACGTCCTGTGCCATCCGTGATCTCTCTCCCACTCTAGAGCTCCTGAGATGAAGAGCTTCGAAGTGCTTTATGCAACTCAGTGTTGCAAACCTAGTCGTTTCCGTTCTCTTTACAGATTATAGCAGTTTCCTCATACGATTAAAATGGCTGTGTGTTATTTGGTTAATGCTCCGTGGGTTTGGGGAAAGAAATAGAGATTTGAGTGAAGGTCAGCACTCAGGAATCTGTTGTGCAGAAAGAGAGGACTTGCCAAGCAAGGCCAGAGAGAAAGTTTCTTTTACCGGTTAGTAAGTGAATGATATTTTGGAGGAGATTATGGATGCTAACCCCTGTTTTTACTGTGTAGGCCCAAACATTTACTGACTTCGCCTCTCCTAGCTTTTGTTTCACAAAGAGAGCTTTGCTGTCTCCAAAATATCCTCATTCCTTCCTCCTTTTTATATAGTGAGTGCCTTCTTTTCTGGAAACGTTTACTTAAACAAGTTGGCCCCAAATCACCATGTTCCTTGGTGAAGGTATTAATAATACATTTGATTGTGTGCCCTTTTCTCAACTCCTTGAGGATCCCTTTGACATAAAACTGTGTTTTTTCAAGGCACCTCTTCTCTGGCTGCATCCCTGTTCCTTTTAATCAGAATGTCTGATGGCCACGGCTCTCTCCGCTGATGCTGCTGTATCCTGCATCACCTCCATCTGAAGCCTAGCCTTCATCTGGACCTAATGACTCAAATATAAGAGAGCAACTCCATTTTAGCGAGTGGTTTCATGCCCCTTCCCCCCATAAAAGCCTTGGCTAAAAATAGGTGGCCTTTGGTCTGTTTGTGGCAGTCACTCCACTGACAAACACCCGTGTGACCTCGGGCACTAACCCAAATCCCTTCTCATTGGCAGTTTCCTTCTGTGTAAAACGAGGAGATTAGATGAAAGGAGTGACGATGCTAATTCCATAAAAGGCAGTAAACAAAGATGGGAAGGGAGCAGGAAAAACTCGAGGCCTCCTGGCTGTGGCTTCAAGGAGGTGGGGCAATAAAAAGGACTAAAGCAGCAACAATTTAAGGTTCGGCCTCTGGGCCTATTGCTCCAGACAAACGTCAGGCTGGAAACCTCCAGAGAATGCCAGAATCCACTCCACTTCCTCCCCTTTTAAGCAAGGCCAGTCAGGTTTACTCAAGAGGAGCCATCGGTGGCCTTCATTTCTGGGTCTGGAGTCCAGAGTTCAGTCTGGGTGAGACTCCAGCTACACCTCTTTTGTTTGATTTTATCTAATTCTGTGATTTTTATCTAATACTGCATTACCCAAGACTGTTCTGGAAATGCAGATCAAAAAGAAAAGACAAGGGAGTCCAAAAAAAACAGCTTTTTCTTTTCTAAGGACTCTAGGAATTTGCAGTTCCCAGCCCCCTCCTGTTGCCTGCCCACCTCCCCAGAGCTGATCCCTGGAACAATAATGGTGCAAACGTTTGGCTCCCTGTCTTGGAGTGGCCAGCTCCGGCAGCCGGAAAATCCCACAGAGGTGACACAGCTCAGAGCTCCATCACAGGGAAGAGAGATCATTGTTTCCTAGGGGATTTTGAACAGCTAAAAACGTATGGTGGAGAAGGTCTGACATCAACCCCTGACACCCACCAGACACACTATTATAACCTTGCAGAGAGCTGAGGGCAATTCCAGCAAAAACAAGTAAGCAAAACTACAGGCAGCCGTGTCATTGGCCTTCCCCAGAAGGCTGTCAGAAGAGGAAGCCTAGGGCGTCTCCCTCTCAGGCACTGAACATGCCGAGGCAGAAAAGTAAGGGAAACATTCTCCTGCTGTCTTCCTGAGAGAAGCATCCATCTTCCCACTGTACCCTCCTCGAAGATGTAGAAGATTCTGTGTGAGATAGAATGCTCTTTCTGGGGGGAACAAAGGAGAAGGTATCCTGGAAGAACCATTCCCCGACCCCCAGCCCATGAGCTCCCTGCTGCTAGTTCCCTTCTTTAGTTTATTCACCACATAATGTCCTTGGCGCTGGGCCCTGCAGTCTGTTTGTGGATCTTTCTGGAAGGCCTGGCAATGGAGGCCCAGCTGTAGCACCACGGGCTGTTGGAGGACAGTATGAAAAGAAAGGGCAGAACATGGCTTTCTAGGGGAGCTGCTTCAGCTTCATCTCCCCAGCTTAAGAGCTCTGCGAGGCCCCTCACAGGCTTCACCCCAGCTT